AATAATTGCATGTGTATCATTGGAATGAATTTACTCATTATAATACTTAGATTAACGATTAACAAACTACTATTTATATACATGATACGCGAATATTCTCAAATATTACTGAGAATGAACTTCAAAGAAGTGTTCTCAGAAATCACACGCCTCCAGTTGGATGGAATTTTAATTTAACGTGGGTATTTTTGTATCAAATAAATCTATTAATTTTTTCAACACTTCCATCAATTTATTTTATATGTATAACAATTATACGTTGCAATCGTATTACTGATGCCTTCATATCTACTCAAAACTACCTCATTTCCTATTACGTAACTCACGGATTACTATTTATACTTTTCAAATGCATAGGGATTTACTAGCATTATTCATTTTGACAATCGACTTGTCCTCGTGTTTCATATAGAGTTTAATTTCCTCTGACGCACACAACGCGTCATGAGCACATTTTAACAGTATTTTCAAAATACGTGTATTGTAAATTCACCTAGCGTCACCAAGCATTATTAAAATATTGTCACGTTTTCAAATTTTCAATATAATATTATTTGAATTAAATTTGTAACAGATGAAAGAATATATTATTTTAATTCTTTGCTTTCGTATATACTTTAATACTAACAGTGTCATACTTTGTGATTGTGACATTTATTCATACGTGACTTGCATAAAGAACTAAAAACTTAAATCATCCTTAAATCATTTTCTGTACCCCATTTTTTTTTTTTTTTTGTAACCAATAGTTCTGAAACTATTGATATAGGTATAAGTAATAAGAACTTAAACTGTATTCGACTTACTGTATTGTTAAAATTTATTATAAAATATGATAAAACGCATTGGTTTCATAAAGCTTCCTTAACCACAATAACTATAATTGCAATGGGACATATATACGACCAAAATTATATAATTTTATAATGTGCTTCAAAAACGCTTTTTATCCTCCAGCCCGAAACGTCTTTAATATATTTACGAATCTACTCCGACTGAAATATAATAATGAAAAACGCAAATATGACATGAGTCACAAGAGTGAGACCTTTTGAAAGCAGCTTATTGCAGCAGCAGCTCCCCTCATTTCCGTGTCATGGTTTACATGTCGTAAACGCGTAAACTGCGTGAGCTAAGGAGTCGACGTTGAAGTCGCGTACTGATTCACGTTCCATATTTAAAATTCATTATATTTTCAAATTCATATAGGTATGTACAGCACGCGAACATATTATTATTATTATTATAAGCCACCCTTACCGTCGTTCCTCGTATTACTTCATAATCACACGTGCAACGACGACGCGCCGTTGTGTAGACAGTGCCCGGACTCGTAATTGTAAAAGTCACGCGAATCATTAATAATAGGTGCAACTAGAGCCCAAATGTTAAAGCTACTGAAATTGCTGAAATTAAAATTCGATGATAATCACTGCGATTATTATAGTTTAATAAAAAAAAAAAAAACTAGGGCAGCTAAATTTGAATTTGGAGATGTTAAAGACCCTCTTATAAGAGGTTGCACCTATAATCTGAGGCGGAAAAAAGTTAAAATTATAGGGGGAGAGTATAAAAGTATTCAAATCCACCTTTAAAAAAATGTGGTTGCTGCGCTCGCATAATGTATTTTATTATATAATATAAGTAAATATAGTACATAATATATAGTATATAAATATAGTAAATATTCTTATATATATATAAGAAAACAATAAGTTAATATGATGATATTAGTACTAGACATGACATGCGTGGGGGAAAGGAGCGTCTAGTGACACTACTTCCAAATTATAAACTTAGGGGGAGTTAAATTATTCTATATAATATTCAGTAAGTACTAAGTATTATTTAATAAACCGCGCGGCCATTTATGTTTAAGACAATGGAGTAGGTTGTCAGGTATTGTGCAAGAAGAGAGTTTAGATAAGAGCGGGTTAGAGTGGTTATAGGTGTTTTTATAGAATATGTTATAATAGTGAGACACAAGTGAGGATAATGGTGGTAAGTTCAGGTCGTGGTGTAGGGTGTGGTTGCTGAAGTATCAGAGAACACGGAGAGGACACGGTGAGTTATTGATTGTAACGCTTGTAATTTGATTAAGTTTGAGTTTTTCGAGTTACCCAGTAGTTGAATTCCATATGTCAATGCGGGATGTAAAATTTGTTTGTAAATTAATATTTTATTAATAAGAGAGGTTTAGGATCATAGGAGTAGTTTTGAGAGGTATTGTGAGTGATGGCATTATCCTGGGTATGACTAAATTTTTTCCAATTTATTTGTCTGGAGTCATATTTGGGTATTTTTCTATTTTTATTTTTTTTTGTAGTTGGAGTGTCGTTTAGGTTGAGTATTATTGGTGTGTGATCGGAAGAAAGATCTGCGGAGTTGGTAGTAGCATATTTTATATGACTAGGGAGCATAGTGATAAAAAAGTCCAGAACGTCGGGATGTCTGTTGGCATGTGTGAGCCAATATGTAGGGTAAGGAGGAGATATTATTTTAAGATTATGATTGAGGAAATATTTGTTGAGAGCTTGACCTCTTGTGTTAGGTTGGCTAAAGCCCCATCTAGGATGTTTAGCATTGAAGTCCCCACCTATTAGGAAGTGATTACTGAGGGAGTTAAAAAAGTGATCAAAATCGTTAGGATTTAGTTTTGAACCGGGACGGAAATAAGTAGATGAGATAGTGGTAGGGATATGATTTAGAGTTAATAGAACACTAGTGGACTATATGACGTTACTCTCATATGGTGGAAGAATGGTATGTTTAATATTTGACTTTAATAATATTGTAGAATTTGCATGGGATGAACCATTGGAATGGTTACATTGGTATATTGTATAGCCAGAGATGTTAAAGGAGGAATTTGGTGTCAGGTGGACTTCACTGATGAGTAAAATATCAATGGAGTTTATTGAGTGAAAGGCAGTAAGTTCATATTTTTGGCGTACTAGTCCATTGAAGGATTGAGATAGAGTGGGGAATATTATTTAGCCTATTAACCATTGGACAGCATTAGTTTTTCTATGAGAGTAGTAAGTAGAAAGATCAACGGATTAAAGGTGGCTTGGAAATGATTGAAAAGAGTTCCATTTGGTGAGCTAGGTAGTCGGGGTTTTGGGAAGTGATGGAGGAATGTCTTGACTTGGTAAATCAGTTTTTGAAGCATGAGCACATTATTTTTTAGGTTGGGAATTCAAATTGTAAGTAGAGTTTACTTTAATAGATTTTACAATAGAGTATACTTGTTTCAAATTATGAATTGGGATTGATTTATTTAGATGGTGGGCAGTTTGAATTTTTTGTTGAACACATGGCAGTCTCTGTAGTTGGCTGGATGGTCTTCATTACATAGTAGATGTAGATGGTCAATCATCAGGTTTTTCGCAGCTTTCTGAGGAGTGAAAGTCTCCGCAGTGAACACATTTAGGCGGATGGTTACAGTATGATTTTGTATACCCTTCTACCCTTCACAACGGAGACACTGGATTGGTTGGTTTTTGTTAGGGGCTCTTCAATTTTTATCTTAGTGTCATAATGGTGGTTAATTTTAAAGACATCCTTGTTATTAATATCAGGTTCCACATCTACGAAAAAAAGCGGAAGCGGTTGTTTGGTGTTTCTATGTAGAACATTTGTGACATTCGAAGCATGTGTCTGAGATCTGTGAATTATTTTTTTATTTCAGTAATTGGAGTAGATTTGTATAAATTTATAATAACTATTCTAAATGCTCTGTCTTCTTTAAGCTGATATGTGTGAAAAACAGTTTTATTGAATTGAAGAAATTTAATAACAAATCGATACGAATCTGGTGAACTAGTGGAGAGTTTGATGCCGCCAATTGAACTTTAATATGTAATGGGTTCTCCTTTCGTAAGTTGTTTTATTTTTTCACAGAAAGCCTTATAATAATTTATCACACGAATTAAAATAGGTGTGGAGGTTTGGTAAGTGCAGAAGAGTTTCTTAAGTGCTCAAGTTCTTAGTCCATTTTATTGGGTTCTAGAATGTTTTCAGATGAGTCGGTTGGATCCAAAAATAAGAAAAACCGATTTTGAATAATAAATATTTTTGTTGCTGGTTTTTGATTTGAATTTGGGGTAGATGGAGATACAATTTGGCGTTTTTCTGGAGTGGAGGTGATCCAGCCGTCGTTGGAAGCTGAATTTGGAGATTAGTTTATTGATCTACTTGACACGTTCTGTACACGTGATTTAGAAATGATTAATGGAGGTACGACGGTTCAGTGGCGTACCCAGGGAGGTAGGGGGTTATAACCCATCCGAACATTTTTCAATGTTTAATTAATTTAATGATCGATCGAGACAGCGCCCAGCGTTCCCTATTACTTTCAAGATATCGTATAGTATATACTACGTGTAAAACTAACTAACCCCCCTCCAAAAAAAAAATTCTGTTTATGCCCTGCGACGGTTTTAAATTTATACGACGGCATGGTGGTTTATTGTTAATCGAAAGCATTGCGCAATCGATAGCCAATTACGGGACGGACGGCCGAGCGCTTTTGCCGTAGATAACAATTACAATTGGTAATTAATTTTTTTAAATTATCAGATCTGGTGACCGGAACAACTTCCGTTGGATGAAATCGCACTAGATTTGATTGTAGATCATTTTTAACGAGAATCACGTTTTTGATTGATAAAAAATGGAGTAGAATATCTTAAGTAAAATAGAAATACGGAACAATATAATAATTATTGCGATATTATTCGCAATTATTGCGAACGATGCTTCATGGTCAACGACCTATACAGAACTAATGATATATTGTTATCACTGAAAACTGACTATCGAGTATCGAAAAATTGCCCACCCACCTACCGAATTAAGGAGGTCGATTGTCTCTCCTCCTGTTCCTCTCTAGATTTGCACATCTGCCTTTAATTATTATTACGTTTCATGCGTTTGCATTGTATTCATCTTCAACTGTTGTCTTTTTTCCGATTTTCTTCCCCCACCACCGACCGCAGACACTGTTGCAAGGGTCGTCTGCACCGTTACCAGAGTACAAGACGTCGGCACTAAAAAAATCTCGATGGGTCCTATCGCATTACGGAGTCTTCAAGACATGCTGGGATTGGCTGATACTGATAGCCACGTTCTACGTGGCGATCGTGGTGCCGTACAACGCGAGCTTCGTCAACACGGACAAACCCTCCATGGTCAGCGACGTGGTCGTCGAGTCGCTTTTTATCGTCGGTGAGTCACTGTTCATTAATTAATCGTTATATTAGTTGTAATAATTGTTGCGTGCAGTGTTTATCAACTCGTCATATACGATCTCCAATCCCTCCCCTTGAGTTACATAATGTGTACGATCTGCGACGAAAATATTTGATTTCATTCGGTCGTATTCGATCAGGTATAAAGCACACGTTTCGAATAGAAAAAAGTGAAAAAAAAAATCGAATAATTATTACTGAAATAAAGGATGTGGACAAGTGGTCGTCAAGTCAGTAGAGAAATTATGCCGAGATTTCAATGAGGCGAGAGAATTTATTATTATTATGTATATACCTATCAGAGATTTCCAATCCGATAGAATATGTTATTAACTACGTGAAAATACCGAAGTATTACATATGTTTGGTGTTTTCAAATATACTATGAAGGATGTTCAGCCTTTTTCATGTCTTTTGTACAAATATTTTATAAATATTAGAGTATGGAAGTCAAGGATCTAAGTAACCTTTAAAAAACGATTAGAAATTAATAAAGATAATTTACTTATAAATTAATTTTGATCTTTTACCGTAAAATATTATGGTCTAGTGGCTCTGGGTCATTGTTAATAGTGAAATGGTGGTTGTAAAACAATAAAGAGATCGTTACAAAAGCCATATAGGTTTTATAACTACCATGTTGCTTTTTTATAGTAGTACTACGTGTGAAGTTGAAGTATACATAACGGTTAAAAAAAAAAAAAAGTTTGATAATTTCTGAATGAATGTTAATTTTATTTTATACCTACATTAACTTATAAAAATAATATTACAACAAACATTTTTCCCATGAGAGCATTGCATCGTTTTTTGAAATTTAAATATGATCAAACAAATATAAAAATATGCAATGCTTTTAAAAATACATGTTCTTTCGTATTCTACTTGATGTTCTATTTATAATACTTAAATACTATCCTTTATCTGCTTCATTCATCTTATCTTACAAGTATATTGATAAATTACTGCACATTTCATGAACACGAGCATAATGTTTCAGTGCTATTTTGATATTGAGCTTTGGCTAACTTTTGTTAGTTGAAAGACGACTAAATATTTTGATAAAAAAAATAGACTTATTTTATTTAGTAGTAAATAAAATACAACGACTTTATTTTTAACTAAAAGACCACAACCGATTAAATTCATTTTTATAACACAGTAAATTTAGTATTAATTATATATGGTGAATATTAACTTTTACGTACTCGTATAGTTAATACATTATTTGCTTATTAATAATTATTACTATAAAATGTATGTATTATAATTTCTATTCGTTAGAAATAGTTATATACATTACATTTTCATCGATAAAAGAATAGATTGTGATAATATTTTACTCTGTTCTAACTTTATAATTTGTTTTATTTTAATACCTAAATGATAGTTATTGAATTAAAGTATTACGAATAAAATCCAAGTTAATATACCTATGATGAATTTAACAACATATCCCAAAGTGACCAATAATTTGATACAATAGCTTTGCGGTCTATAATGACTAAGTCTATGAAAATTGAATATATTTTATACATTTACTATACGATTACTTGTTTTTAAATTTCTTATAATGTACTATATAGTTTATGTGAAATTTAGATTATTAATTTTATCATCTGAAAAACGTAATTAAATATATTATCCAATTATTTATCATTCCACAATTGCTTTAAAGCATTCGTTTATTGAATTAACTCAACCACAGTCTGGTAATGTTTAAGATATTTTTTTGATTAATAACAGTAAAAACCACTTACTATTAATTTATCTTGCAAATAACTGTAATGTAAAATATTGAATATAAAATCTGTATTTAAAAAATATTTATACAATTTATGTCATACGTTTTGAACACTTTTATAGTTAATTTATTGATTTCTATTTGAGTGTGATTTAAGTAGTTATTAATATTGATTTGATTGAAACGAAGTAAAATGAAAATAATAAAATAATAATTTATCGGAATGCTCTAACAATGTTGACATTCTTGCTCGGATTTGCATCTCATCATGATTTATACTATAAACAAAACATTTGGTAGGTACATTGTAATCATTTAGGAATATTTGAATTTTCAAATGTCTAACATTATAATTGACAGAGCACAATATTTGTTTTCACTTTATGTGTACGTTTAAAATTTAAATTTACGTTATTTTTCAAATGTTTTATTATTACATTTTCTGAAAATACATTATTTACTTTATTATTATTTTTGTACACACTTAAATTTTAAATGATTTACTTATAACTCATTCGGAATTATGGGTAAATATTAAAATTAATTTAAGATAGCTCTCCATGGGACTATTGTTAAATATAAATACACAAAAAACAAAACATTTAATGTCATATCTGTGTATAGCTAAACAACGTTAGTTAAATAAGTATATATTCAATTTTATATTGAAGCATAACTCATTCAACATTTCCAGATATTACAAATTTCTTACAATTTTAATGATAATTCTCATCCCACCCAAAGAATAGTTTTTAAATAATATAAATTACCATCAGACTAAAATAAATTATAAAAATCGATGTATATGTTTAAATATAAAAATGTGTGATTAAATCGTATAAATCGCTTCGCTTGGAATCTATTAAAATTATTGGTTTTTAAAAATGTTTGATATGTTCTTCACATAATCGTAGTGTCGTATACGCCACGCAAAGGCATTATGTATAGTAACACAAAACGAAGTATTCGTCGGTTGTTGAACACTCTAACCGTCAAACAAGCACTTAAAAAAAAACCTTATAATTGGCCCGGACGACTACCTTCTTAAATGATAAAGAGTAAGATCTAGCACTGGATGTTTCGAGCGTGAGGTAACCTTTATCTAACTATATTGTACTCTCCCCTCAAACTGACAAAGAATATGATCTAGCACTGGATTGAGGTTTGAAATACAATATAGTTTTAATACCTTTTTTGTAAATGTACCAACTTTCTCATATACTCGCACAAGTACGTAAAATAGAAAAAATATTAAATATGAACACCTTTTATAATTATATATAAAACCTTTTAATTTAAGACAACAAAAAATTTATTAATACAAAAAAAACAAAAGAATGACCGATCACTTCACTCATAAATCGGGTAGAGTTCTGTCCTCCATATTGATGGCAGTAGAACGAACGAACATCACGTCTTATGAGGAGCGTTTTATTCTATTACAATTTATCCGGTCAGCATTTCGTGAAGCTGGTGTGTGTATGCGTATATATATATATATATATATATATATATATATATGTATGTATGTGTATATGTGCGTTTGCTGACAATATATTAATTTTATATTTATAATAATAATTAAATTAAATTAGGTGTTAGGTGTTAATACAACACTAGAAATACATTTTATAAAAAAATGTTATATTACTGTAATTATATTCGTTATCGGTTGTAATATTAAATATATTTGTTAAACTGTAATTCTTATTATTGATTAAAGGGTCATAATTTAATTAGTTATGAACTCATGATTACTATAAATAATTTTTATAATATAAATTATAAATCTATATCCTATAATAAAACTTTGTGACATATTTATTATTAATTTATGTTAAAAGTGGAATCTCCATTTTCAATTAAATTCACAATTTTTTTATATTTTATATATTTTAGTAAAAGATCATTGATCATTGATCAGATCGTTGGAAATTGTTAAAAAACATAATCATTTTTGAAACTGTGATTATCTTTCGTTGTTATTTATTATTCATTGTCAACGCACGTTGATGACAATATGTTGATTACCAAAAAAGTGCTATAATTCATAATATTAATTTTTATCGTAGGGTCTTCTACATAATATGGGTACGTGTACGCTTGTCAATTATTTGTGGAAGTGTAAAAAAGAGGGAGTGAGAGGGTAAGATATAAAGATATTATCAAGTTGTTTTGTTCATTGGTAAATTCCATCAGGTATGAAGACATTTTACTACATAGCACAAACGTAACACAGTTAATTGTACCATTTTTCCGTGAACATGTATCTGCCAATGTATCAAAATTGCATACCTAGGCTGCCGTATAATAAATCATAATATTACAATGTTATGTTTAATGATGTCCCCTATAATTTATAGTATAATATACTTACCTGGCTATTTGTATGGCTTGTAACAAATGTCTTTAAAAAACGATTTATTACTACAAGGCAGAGAAGTAATTATAACTCGGAATTCATCTTAAAGATTATAGAATATTAATTGAAATCCATTTATTTTCATTTTAAAGACGCACCTTTATCTTACTTGGCATTATTTAATGAAACAGATTAATTTTTTACTCTTAAATTTTTTTAATTTTAATTTTTTTTATCTTAAAAAAAAAATACCATAATTTTTTTACATTTACTTAGTAATTTATATTTTATTAAAAATATATGTGTTATGTACAATGCTATAGATATATACGAGTATGCAAAAATTTTAATTGTTTTTGCAATGAAATATATATAAATAAACGAATATATTGATTGAAAAGGGTAAACATAATGAATCATTATAATAAATACCTTACGATTTTAGTATTTTAGAACAGTATTAGTTTCAAGGAAATACAAATAACTTATAGGGATTCTTTACAATAAAGAAAGTGTGCAAAATTTGAACTTGCACAAAGATTGAAAATTAATTCATTTTTCAAATCAACACATTTTATTATTCTTTGGATCTGACAAAATCTTAACAGATAAATTTAAAATTGTACAAAAACTATTCTGATTAGTATAGTTATATACTATTATACTATAGTATAGGCTTTTTAATCATTTATTTTTAATTAAAATTCTGTAGTAATTTTTGATTTACGAAATAAAAATAAGCTGTTTAGAGCTAAATTTATAATTTACAATCTAGTTTTAATTTTTAAAAACGCATAGTGATCGTCTGCACTCTGTATCGTAGATACAATTATTTTGTAAACGAGATTTTATCTTGTTGTTTTAATTTTCA